CTCCCCATTGCACCTGTATTTCTGTTTCAATGGGGTCTCAAGGTTCACGCAGACGTTGCTCCTCAAGTGCTCAAGAGTGGGCTTTCAGGAATGTCGAGTCCATAGCCGCAAGGCGATGGAGTGAGGTAGCAGCAACCAGGTCCCATAACCGCTATTAGCCTCAGCAGTGCAGCAGCATGCAACTTCTCAATTGACACTCGCAGTGACAATGATGAAAGACAAAAGATGAAAGCCAATTGACACTCGGCTGGAAGTAAAATTGTAGTGTATTTCCTCACCAATGAAAGATGAAAGCCAATGGCTGCCACAGTCCCATAACAGATGAAAAAAAGGGCGGCAACTCCCGCACAGCAGTGATTCGTGCCTGCATAGTTGGAGGCGTGGAGCTTAGCAGTGATATCAGCAGTGTGCCATATCCGCTGGCTCGGTAAGGGGGCATTCATTTATGAGCATTTATAAGTCGTGTCCGTCTTGTTGTGGACTCTTCTACAACGTATCAGCCCTTTTTTTATGTGTAGGTGCTTTATATGATCGACATATAACTCAGCAGGTCTGCTGCAGGGCATAATCCCCACGTCGAGCAGCTCCAATCAACAGCAATTTCAGGCATGAAACGAGTTTTTTTTTTTTTTTTGAAAGCGGGTAATTTGGCCCGAATCAGAGCCCGAGCCAGGCTGAAATTTTGACGAAATTTTGGGGGTCCGGCGTTCTTGTGAAACGCCGTACCCCTTGGACTCCAACTAAGTCCACAGATAACAGATACATCCAGGGGGTCGGGCATTCTTAAAACGCTGGATCCCCTGGACTCAGCAAAGTCCAGATACATCCTGCGGGTCCGGCATTTTAAGAACACGTCAGACCCTCGAGAGCTAAAAACTTTTAACCTGAAATCGGGCAGATTCGGGCCAATTTAGTCCGGTTCAATTTTTTTCCTTAAAAAAAAAAAAAAAAAAATGTCCGTTTTGGCGAAATTGCTGTTAATCACACCCTTGACAAGCAATGATCACGAAAGCTGGCAGTAGAAGCAACAGCCTCCGTAAGCAGCGGGCACACCTTCCTCAATTCCAAGACAGCCGTACACTTTTGAACGAAACAGCAGCTGCCCAGAAGCTCGCCACAACTTAGATTCGTCTTAGAGCAGCGAGAAACCCCCTAGTGTGGTCTCAGGGGTTTAATAATAATAATAATAATAATAATAATAATAATAATAATAATAATAATAATAAAATTAATAATAATAATAATAACAAAAAAAAAGGGCCAAGGTAACGGCCATAATCATCAAGGAACTCCAAGGCTTTCAAAGGGTGGATGCACCATCCTCATCTTCGACGTCGATGGTACACCAGCAAGGCCTGTGGGTGCAGCAGCAACAATCTGTAAAACGTTGATTCAGCGATCGCTGAAGAGTAGACGCGGGCCTTGTTCGTATCTAAATAATCTTGATATGGTCACATGCAGTACTCCAGCAAGGAGCCAGATTTCAATCTCCAACGCAGCGGCAATAGAAATGGACGGCCGCAAAAGCAACAGCAGCCCATCGTCAAGTAATTTCATTTCCTGCACTGCCACCAAATATTGGGTAAAAGGGCAGCATTCATTGGGGGAAGCAAGAGAAACTGGAGTGCAGGCACACAGCCTAATCCAGCCAGCAGACATCCCACGCCCGCAAGCGTGTTGTGTATTGCCTCAAACAGCACAGCAGTCCGTTTCACAGGCCATCGGACCCAAGTAATGACTCAGTCCAGCGAATAGGAATATCATGATTTGAATTGATGTCACAATCTTTTACTCATCGCAGCTGAAAGCTCGCTCACCAAGCATGCCCAGGAAGGTACATGAGGCCAATGGGGATTGAACCCATGACCTCCTGAATGCCACTTGCGAGCCTTACCAACTGAGTTAGGCCTGGGCATGCTTGGTGCCCACCACCTAGAGATAGACCACTGGATCCCCCGATTGGCATTTAGCAGAGTCTGCTGATGTTCATAGGGGAGGGAACC